AATTCGAGAATTGTTGTTGAGGTCTTACTTTCTCGTAAGAATCTGTACAAATACTCTTATTTTTAAAAAAAAATTCTCAAAAATTTGCACGGTAAGGTATAGTTAAAAGTTCACTATTAGATAAATAAAGACTTCAACAATTAAAAAAAAAAATTTTAGTCATAATCTAATATTTTTTATTTAACATTGGTGGCGAAAGGGGTGGCGAAAGGACCTCCTTAAGGTTAGTGATTTTCTATATTTTCATCACTAATCGATTGTCAAGTTTAGAAAATTTTAAATATAGTGACGCTCAACATTCTATTTCAAAGTAATACGAGTTGTTTAATAACCTGACCCACTGCCCAAAATCATAAACACTATAAAAATAGATAAAATGACAAGATCATATTACAATATTTCAGGTTAACATACAATACATCAGCTACGCTAGGAGGTAACATGATTGATTAATACATATAACATTATATCTATTTAAATTTACATACCATTTTTCATCTAATGCAACGGCAAAGTTTCTCGTTACATTAAATTCAAATATGACTGATCCATCCTTCCAATTGTTACTTGTAAAGTGGCAACTGCAGAACCATTTGTGTCTCTTTATCTTATCTCCTATATCCAACGTTTATAAATTATACGTTTCCTTATTTATACCGCCTTATCAGAATAATTCAATTTTTCCCTTTAAACAGCTTTTGTAGGAAACAAAAATGTTTATGCTCATTTTAAAGTTTTTACAGTTGGGTAAAAAACACATGACCATTCTGAAGTAATCTTAGACTCTGGCAGAAACAACAAAATTTAAAATAAAATAAAATAAAATAAAACTCAAGTATACTTTTTTGCTTGAAATAATAGTAAATCCTGGAGACGTTTTTCTGCAACAACCGTTCAATTGACAACATATTTCCGATTTATTAAAGTCGCAGTTCCCACTTAAACAAAACTTTCAAATATACACAATTTAAATTGTCTTATGGAGATTTATAATGTATTAAGAGTTTATTTAAAAGGTTCGTATTACTCGCCCTACTTTGTGACGTCACGCCTTGTTTATGTGCGGGCACATTGTTGGTTTCACGGATCGTTGACCTCTCTTTTTAACTACAGGTATTTGCGGAAACCTCGTGCGTTCAATCAGCATATTGGACCGACAGAGATGCAACAAGGCAAAGTGCAGTGGCGTACCAAAAAAATAGAGAATATTAAAAATATTACAATTGAATTTATATTTTTATGTATTTTATAATTTTAAAATAATGTGTTTTTATGAAATTTAACTGGGTGTTCACTGCACAAATGAACCAAGAAGAAACCGCCCCTGCTGTAAAACATCCTTTTGTGGTATACATCTAGTTCAAATTCAAGCAACTAATCACCTCATAAACATTTTTATATCATCCTCTATCTTTTTGATGCACGTCGGTTTTATGTTTTACGGTTTAACAAAAGTTCATATCTCTGAAAATATGAAAGGAGGTTATCCTCCCATATCGCTTCCCTATGTTTAATAAAGCTCTCGCGGACTTTATTATATTGGCGGGATTAGAGTATAAAACATTACTTGCTTTACTGCCCTCGACTAGTTCGTTTTCGATATTATTAAAGATTTTATGTACAGCTATGAATACCATAAAAGCAATTTTACGTTATTGGTTATTTAACATAATACTTTAGATAACTTTTGGAAATATTAAAATATGGTATATAGCCAAGGACATTAATGATTATTATCGTAACTAGAAAAATATGCGAAAATTGCTGTAAACTACAAAAATAAATAGTTGTTTTTTCTTCTTGTAGTTAAATATTATTATTAGTATTGTAGGATGTTATTAAAAACATTATGAGCGGGCGCTTGTCGTAAATTTTACGTCAATAAGTTTCTTCATAAAAATAGGGTTTTATTTAAATTAATATTAGGAAATTGATGTAAGGTTATGAAAAATGATAAATGACAGTTCTTTAAAGAAAATATATTTGACTTTTTTAAACAGAAACACTTTAAATATCTTAATATTTCAAAACAAAATATTTTATCGACCTATTAGTCAGAATTAATATTCTCATCCTTACAATTGTTGCAAACCACCTCGACCGCAGAATGGTTCTTGCATGTAAAGGACTGGCAGCGGCAACACTTCATTGATGGCGAGGATCTTTTCTTTTCTAGTGCACACGACTGACAAACACCACGTTTTGGAGGGCGTCCTGTTTCTTCTTCCCTTATTGGTTCAACTTCCGGACCGTATTCACTTTGAGAAAAGCATTTATATCTTACCGCAAATGCTTCACATTGGATCTGAAGATAAGATGCTCTTTCATCATGATCAATGCCAAATTTTTTAGGAAAATTCTTCGATGCTTTGGAGCCATTCTTGGACAGATAAACATGTATGAAATTTGAGCATTTATGCCGCCCATATTCATAAGAGTGTAGAAAACTACACACTGCCATCTTTTTGTTATTCTAGAGGCACACATTTTGTCGACTGTAGCCTTTGTTTCGTTGTAGTCTGGTATAACTTGAGGTTTTCTAGTATCAGGGTTCATTTCGTTATCATCATATAATGTTGATAATAATATTACAAATTTATTTTTCCGAGGTACATAGGAAAGCATCATTTTGTCCTTTTAGAAACCAAAAAGAGTGGATCCAATAGCTCTGTTTTTGTACAGCAAGAATTCTTTTGGATGTCTCTATTGTTCCCAACACTGTTATTTGGTCCATCGGGTTGTTTTCCGCAGTATATTTATAGATTGGATGTATAAAATCACATAACGCAACATCTTCATCCCGTATTTTGCTGGTTTGCTATGAATATATTGAATGAAGTTACAATGACCTCTAAATGGATGCAGCATCTCATCGATTATAGTATATTTGCTCAAATTAAATGATGACTTGCAGTTACTGACGAAAACTTGAAAAAATCACGTATCGTTGCCAGTTTGTCAACTTTTCACATTTCAATCCGGGTACTTTTATCATCGAAACTAAGGCAAGAGGTAATAAAGAGAAATATAGAAGTTCCAAGTATGCTATAAATTCTTGCCTGTCGATGTTTTTAGAGTCCCGATCTCTAGAATATTGATGGTCAACTCTCAGATGATCGACATGCATATTTGTGCACCTCAAGACATATCGATAATTTGAATGAACGCATTTATTTCACTTTTAATACCAACAGCTTTTTGAGTCAAGCCAGTGGGTACTGTGACCACGTTTATTCCCTTGGTTTTTCCAGAAACACGGTACGTTGTCTTTCGCCATTGAGTAGATTTTTTTTCCAATGACGAACTCTTTAATTGTTTCCTCCTGTTCTCCAGATTCGTCTGGAATGTTTTCTGATTCGGTAGCTCTTTCTTTATCTTGTTGCTCAATTTCTTCTTCCGAAAACCCGCTGTCACTCGAAAGAAAGTAAGTCTGATCATCTTATTACGATATAAATAAGAAAAGAAAATAGAAAAAGTAGTTATGGAAGTTTTCATAATAGATTTTAAAGTCACTTTACCACTTTAGTGTTCATATCCAATTTCATAAGTCAACTTTAAGATCTAAAGGCACTTTACATTTAAAGTGATGTGTTTTGTCACTTTATAGCGACTTTAACCTTACTTTTTAAATGTTACACTTCACTTCATGTTTGACAGGAGAATTATTTTGTTGTTAAATAATGGATACATCGGACTCTGCATTCTCTACCGATTCTGATTCTGATAATTATGAGGACATTAGAATTCGTCGTCCAAAAATATACAAACGGCGAATCGATTACTTTGATGTGTGGACAGATTATGAATTTTTTTATAGGTTTCGCTTGAGTAAGGAAGCTGCTTTAGAAGTTTTAAATTACATTAGAAATCAAATTTCTTCAGTTACTAATCGGTAAGTAAACATACTTAATTATGTGCTCAAGACACAGGCACACACAGATAAATAATAATTATATTTTTAGGGGAGGCGCAATTAAGGCAGAAACAAAACTTTTACTTGCCTTGCGTTTTTATGCCACTGGAAATGTTTTATTGAGTGTATCAGATTTTGTTGGAGTATCTGTGGCTTCAGCTTCTCGCATAATAAAATTAGTTAGCTCTGCTATAGCTTCCTTAAGACCAGATATTATTAAAATGCCACAGACTAGACAAGAATTAGAAAGAACGGTTCAAGACTTCTACAGAATAGCACGTTTTCCACAATGCTGTGGTGCAATCGATTGTACACATATTAGGATACTTTCACCAGGTATTAATTAAAAAAATACTTGTTTGCATTGAAATGTATATTAGATCAATGAAATATGATGTTACTGTTAAATATAAATTATTCATTTTCCTTTAGGAGGAGAAGATGCAGAGATATATCGCAACCGTAAAGGATATTTTTCTTTAAATGTACAAACTGTATCAGACGCCTCCTTGAAGATTAGAAATATAGTAGCACGTTGGCCAGGAAGTTGTCATGATAAAACAATTTTAAATAATTCCAGACTTAAATACAGTTTTCTAAACGGTCAATTTGGCAGATTTCATTTGATAGGTGATAGTGGTTATACATTATCACAATATTTACTGACTCCACATGAAAACCCCCAAAATGAGCCACAAAGGTTGTATAATGAGTCACTGATTAGAACTCGTAATGTGGTCGAGAGGCAATATGGGGTTTGGAAACGTAGATTTCCAGTTTTATCTCTGGGCATAAAATTAAACAAACAAACTGCAATGACTGTTATTGTTGCTACAGCAGTCTTACACAATTTGGCAGTGGAAATGAATGAAGATGTTCCTGCAGACTTTGATTTAGAAATAAATGTTGAAGAAAATATACCTGATTTGAACCGGCAACCTAATGCAGTTATGGAACCAGACATGCCACGTATTAGAGCTGTTAATCATCGCCAACTTTTTATTAGACAAAATTTTGATGAATTGGAATAAAATAATATGTAATTTTAAATATTTTTATTTGTATTAGAAAACCCTTAGAATCATAACTAATTTGAATTAAGAGATTTTTTCTTTTCCTCAATTTCTAAATCTAACAATTCCATCTCTTTCTCATGTCTCTTTTCTTTTCGTCTGTCTTCATTTACTAAGCATCTTACTTTCTCTTCAAAATATTTTTTTTTAAATCGTATAATGTCTTTTTTTCCAACACTTTTGGTGCAGATTTATTTAAAACGCTTAATTTTGGGTGTTTCTTCTGCTGGATGTTCTTTGGTGTATAAAATTTCCATGTATTATTCTGTGACTCTTCCGTTTCATGGGTCTCATCCTCATCTACAATTTGATCCTGATAAATTTCGGTCCTTTCGTTCTCGATTCCTACTTCATTTTCCAAATCTAAAAATAAGCAAACTGTATCTTTTGTTTTTGTTATACAAAGAATTTTACCTTCAGAAGTCTCCTCAATGATTTCTATATTACTCTGCCCTTGATCTAAGTAATCATCATCATATTCATTTACCAGCCCCGATACAGTTTTTTTGTTTATTATAGACAAAACTTCATCATATACGGGGTTTGGGTTGACAACTACAGGAGGCCCACCTCCTGTGCCATATAAATTACGGTTTGCATTTCCCGAAAATCGTCTAGCTGCTGTTTTCAAATTGTCATATTTACTTTTCATTTGAGCTATGGACCTCATGGGATTGCAGCTATTAAATGCATCTGCAATTTTACGCCAAGCTTCTTCCTAAAATTAAATTTGAAATCGTAAGTCTACTGCAAATTATTACTTATTATTTTATTACCTTTTGACTAGGTAACACTGAACTAGTCGTTTTGTTCTCAATTATATTTTTATGGCGAGATATAATGCTTAGTAAAGCTAATTCTTCTTCTTTTGAAAAATTTGTCCCACGAATTCTCTTGCCTTTGCTTGTAGAAGCCTCATTGTATGGGTGGAACGATATAACATTTTTGTTAGACATTTTCTTAAACAAAAGTAAATCAGCGGAGTAAAAAAATATTCACAATGTTCGACGTGCTCAACAAAAATATATCATAACCTCGTTTAAGTCGTTTATTTAAGACTCTGAAGTCACAGAACACCAAAATTATAAAAAATAGTGTTGCCAACTACGTTAAATAACACTTTTGTAAAAGTAACTCTATTTTGAGATTATGAAACACACTTACTTTAAAAGGCACTTTAAATTTTAAAGTTACTTTAGTTAAAGTGACTTTATCATGTTTATTATGAAAACGGCCGTTAATTTAACATATTTTAAATAAACTTTAAAATTTTAGACACATGTATTTTAATATTTAAAAAAATAATTTGTTGCAAGATGTCACTTTAAGAGATGGTTACAGATCAAACTAAAATTATGTAATATCATGTTAGCAGAATTGATAACTCAATAGTTACTACTAAATAGATACGTGCACACTTAATCATTTTCTGGCTTAATTTGTATGTTGTAACGTTATCTTCGTCTACAACCTCATTTTCGGCTATTAATTTAAACATAGAACGTTATACTTTAAGGTTTAAGTGGACCTCCGGAAACATTAACTACAAATTCAAATTTTTTTAAAAAATTCATGGGTACATATGAGATATTGGCTAGTATCTTCCCAAATTTTAATCAAACGTTCGAGTGGTTTCTGAGAAAAACGAGAAAATCTGTTTTTTTCCACATATAAAACTAAAAAACTGACCGAGCGATATTAACTATATTTTGTAAAATGATTTATGGTGCTAAAATAAGAATGTGCTATTTTTTTTTTAATTTTTTGAATTTACAGTTTTGGCACAAAAGAAAAAAAATATTTTAATATACTCATAAATCATTTATTCATACGTATTTTTTATAAAACTTGTTGAATATAATTGGAATAATAAACTTATAGGCATTTAACAAAAAAATTGTGTCACTGAATTGAACGTATTTAAAAATAAATAACTAAAACCATAATATGATTTAATATTCCCACGTTAGATTTGAAGCTCTGGAAGGAGCTGCCTCTACAATAATAACCGGAACGTTTAAAAACATTTTACCAAATTAAATACAGTTAGCAGGATTGTTGATGAAGTCTCTGCACAACGTTGCCGGTTTGCCGTTATAATTTATAATTTCAAGAAGTTTATTACATCTACAAATTATATCATCGCTTTAGGTATAAGAATGATAAACAATGAAACCAGGAAGGGAAATTCAAAATTTTATATTTGATTGAAATCTAAAATTTGTGATTTATATTTATTTAGTTATTTATTCATTTTTGTTTGTTTATAATTACAAATTATAATTTTACAAAGGAACGGCATATAAATAAGAAAAGGGAATAAAGAGTTAAATTTTATTAAAAATCATTTTTGATTTATTTGTGTTGATTAAGTTATAGGTTGGTTTTGTATTTTTTTTTTTTTATTACGAATTTTAAATGTACACGATTGTACTTATGTATTAATAAAAATAATTTAGGTAAATTCATTAGGCAGCTTTGTAACTAGGTAGAGGAATTTAAATGGATAAATAAATTAAACCAAATATAAAGTTATAAAAAAAAATAGGACTTACTCATGATAAGGACATTAAGAGATTTTTAAGAGGATTTAATACATCAAAAAAAAACATGTGGAATAGTAGTTAACAACTTCTTGTTGTTATGAGGATTTAGTATAAACTTAGATAAAGCATTTTGACAAATAAAATTTCTGCCTTTCCTGTGGAAGAAAGGATGATTAAATCGTCATCTCCTAAAATTGATTGGTGCCAGAATATTATTTTTAAGTTGTAGCAGATTTTTCTTTCACATTTTCATTGATTTGTCTCTGGTGTCAGATTTTGTAAAAGCTTGTGTGACTTGATAATTGCCTGCTGAGATATTTATTTCACTTTGAATAATTTCGTAGTTCCATATTTCGTGGACGTCTACTATCCACAAGTTCTACTCCATAATGATCATAAAAAAATATTATTCGGAGTTACAATTTTGTCAACTTTTAATTATTTTAAAACACTTTCAGACTTTGAAGTGTTCAATTGCGTGTTTCTCAAAAACGGTTAAAATTATTAAGTTTAAACAAAAGTAGAATAGTTTTACACAAAAATTACGTTTGTATCATATTCTCTAATCAAAATTACCTAGAAAAAAAGGTATATTTTATGTTTGACAAAATCTATAATATAACTGTTTATTGTCCAGCTAATAAGATATAAAAATTACTAAAAAGTTTCATCAAAGAAAGGTATGTCTCAATTTCATTATCGGGAATCGCACACCCTGTAACAAAATGAAAAATAATATGCTTTCCGTAAAGTTATGCCTCTGTGTCAATTTTAATAATATGAATATTTTGTAAAATTATTAGCAGAAAACGTAAACAATATTTTAACTTAAACACCCGCTAGAAACCATACGGTTGGAACGGAAATGCAAAATCTATATCCTATTTTTTAAAAGTTTATTGTCCAGCTACCTGTTTAGATACCTTTGTTTTGTACCTTCTGTGCAACGTGCAACATTTCAGTGAATGATCGGAGATCGGTCCGCCTTGTCAAATTTTCGCCAAATTCTTTATTTCCAATTAAAGATCCTGTACAAACACCCTCTTTGTTACATTTATGACTTTAATAATAATACTATTTATAATAAACTAACATTGTTTTCAAATAAAAAAGTAAAGTCAATAGATGTCTTATGTTTAAAATAATATTTGAATTGGTTTATTTGCAAAGGTAGGTACTACTATGAAAATAAAGAACACCTAAGTATTTAGGAAAAAAATATGTGGCAACGCACTTTCATCCTTCTTCTTTGACCTGTTTTTTTAAAGCAGTGGATTGCATAATTATAAATAAATCAATGTTTACACACCTATGTATTTATAATATTTACCTAAATAAGATAATTTACCAAAAAAATGCTTATTTTATGAACTTCTAACGTAACCTAATTTTACGTGAAGTTATTGTACTTTTCTTGCAGGCGTTATAGAAAAATCAACAATTTTTTTAATCTTCTAATTCTACCTATCTGTTTCGATTGTGATAGAAATCAGGGTTTTTAATATAAACATTTTATATGTAGTAATTCAATCCTATATACTTACTTTTTTAAATGTAAGCCTCTTTTTGACTTTTTCTTGAGTACAAGGGGCATTTTTAATAATAAACACAAAAACTCAATGAGAAATAGTATATATAAAACAGTAAGTCACTTAAAAACATCACTAGGCACAGATCAAAAACACATAAAATAACTGGTGTAGATATGGCAATCGTGCATAACGAGAACGCTCTATTTTCATGCAGCATCTAGTGATTATTAGCAAAAGTTTTTTTCACAGTTTGAAATCCAGTAGAGAGGTTAATAGTTTTCTATATTCATAAAATATGAGCGTATTGCTTGTAGAGCCATCTCGCGTTGGCGAAACGAAAAAAATGCGGGTCCATTTAAACCTTAAGCAGCGCTACCCACAGTGGTATTTATGGAAACGAAAAAGCAGATGTGGCAGCCAAAGAAGTAATAATTTGTACTTATTTTAATAATATTCCTTGTTATAGTGATTTATTTTGTGGTTATAAACTAAATATAATCAAAAAATTGAAGGAAAAATGGTCAGAGATAGCCATAAATTCTACTAACCCCTATTTTCTAATCCATAAGGATTTACCAAAACCGGTTCCCCACATATTTGTATTTAATGTTTCAAAAAAATACTCATCTATCATTACATGACTTAAGATCAACCATGGATGTTTCCCGGCCCATTTGCATAAGATAGAAATAATAGAGTTGCCTATTTGTCAACATGATAATGAAATTGCTGATTTGAATCACCTGTTTTTTAATTATAAAATAAATCCAGGAACTGCTTACTTCATGGTCAAACTAAATAAGTTAAATTTACAATTTCCCACCAATATTCAAGTTTTACTGGCAACGAAGAATAAAGAAATTTACAACTTAATAGTAGAATTATTCTCAATAAATAAAATTTTCATTTAATTAGGCCAATTATTTAATTAAATATTTAAATGGTGTGTGTGGCTAAAGGATCAATATCCAAAGCCAAAAAAAGCAGCGCTAGCTTAATAACGTTGTGGCGTTTTGATTCTGGAACCTAGAATAAAAATTCGCAATTGGTGTCCACACCTCTACCGAGAAAAATTGACATATTGACGGAATGAACTTCAGCACAAAATTTGGATTTTAAACTCAGTTTTGTGTCGAGTATCAAGGATGAAGGTCAGTTTGTTTAATTTTCTTAATTCTCTAATGTTCAGTCATTTTTAATAAATTCAAAGAATATCCTGATCATCCATCTACTCTAAGTAGTCTTTTTGATAAATTAACATTTAGTTAATATTTAGATTACCTTTTAGAGTAGTATTTTTATTAAATGAAACCGATGTTCATAATTGAATGAAATAGCGTCCTTTGATAATATGAATTTTTATCTATTTCTATCTGTGTTTTTAAGCTGAAATATTAGTTTGATTCTTTCAGGAAATCTTTTCCTTATGTACTTATTTTTCTAATTTACTTTTTTACGTACATTGATTTTTTCCGGAGATATCTTGCACAGAATTCACTTTTCTAAGGGGTAGGAAAGACTATTATCTTTAGAGCTAAGCTATTTAATTTTTTTTTTGATGTTTCGTTAAATATTAATCATAAAATTCACATATTTGCTATTCCTTCAACCTTATCGACTGAATGTAACTTGCAGTAAATTATTATTTTTTAGTAAAGTTCATAAAGCATGTCGCTGTAAGATATAAAAAATAATCTTACTGTTATTTTTCTTCATTTTTCATTGTTACTATTATTTTAAACATATCTTTATTCATATTAAGTGACAACTCGTGGTAATTATCAATTTAGCTCCACGATTTCGAGTCCATAACTAATATATCTTGTGTTTCTTACTTGGTAAATAGTAACTTCCTTCTAATGGACCATTAGCGTCTAATAAT